AACCGCTCTTTAATGATCTACCGTGCCTCCCATCTGTGTTTTTACAATGTTTATTATTTCCACTGAAATAACTTTAAGGTAATAGTGATAGAGTTGAAATTTACACGTATTGGTGTCTGATTTTAACGTTGTTTTTTGTTTTTCAGAGGGAACTAGTACAAGTTGGAGGTTTTACTTACATCGGTTTTAGCGTAAAGAACATTAAGTTATTTAGTCATATGCCAGCAATTTCGCTATTAACTATCAGAGCGTTTTGAAATATCAATTCGTGGTTTTTGATTCGGAGCGACGCTTTGTACGGTATGGCTTTTTGGTTATTATGATAAATTGATGGATCATTATTCGATGTGCGTAATTAACATTATTAGATAGATGAGTTTCTTTCTATGTAACATTGAGGACTTCCGTAAGTTTATTAACTTATTTGTTTTTGCTAATACTGCTTAGTGCAAATTTTCTGCTATAAAGTTTCAAATGCAACGTCATAGTTTGACAACTAATATATGCATAGGGAGCCTTTGGGGGACGACCGGCTAACTCTCTAGCTTTGACTGTAGCCATAATATTGAACGTATTATTGATTTTATAAATGAATATATAATTTTAAATTAAATAATTCTATACCTACACATTACTCACGAGTAATGAGTATAGAATTATTTGAATAAAAAATATGTCCTTCAAATAAACAAAATCTTCTTTTCTAAAGCTTTCACTGTGTTGAATACTTTTATTTATAAAGATCTATATGTATACTAATATTAAAAAGAGGAAAGGTTCGATTGTTTGTTTGTTTGCAGAAACTTCTGGACAGATTTTAAAAAAACTTTCACCTACAAAAAGCTATATCATATGCTGTGAACATAAGTATATTTTATCCAGAAAACAGCAAACAAACAAAGTTAAGCCGCTGGCGGAAAGCTATTGAAGTCAGACATCTATCTTTAAATTAATAAACCTATAGAAGAACTCAGCCCAATTTCTTGAATAAGTGGCTTTTGAGATAAGTATTATTTATCATTTTTGTTTTAAGTTAGAATTTGATTCTATTTATTTTAAGTATTTCATATAGCGTACTCTATTTTTAAAATTTTAATCTTACTACAATCGTGGACTTCGTAATTTTGATTTTCGCACATAAAATGTTTCCTTTGTAAATACTGCTTATCATATTTAAATTTTAATGAAATAAATAAGCATAATAATATTATTCATTCAATAATATTCGAAAAACTCCCATATGCATCGAAAGCACCCCTATGCACTTTTAGATATTTTATAATTGTAAGGATTCAGGAATGATACATTTTAAAGAACTGATTTTATTTTCATACATAATAAAAAGTATGTCTACGTGTATGTATTATTATCAGATCTCTGACTTGTTATTAGGTACTGAGAAATTCTGTACAAAATTCTAACTAAATATTGATTTACCGAAAATCTTTAAATATCAGTCTTATTATTTTATAACAAGGATGCCCCATTTCAATTTTGTAGAAGTTCCATAAAAAAATCCTCCCCCTAGTTTAAGGTGGAGTAAAAGTAGCATGTTTGTGGAATTTTTCAATTGCATTCTAACACTTCAGACTTCGTATTTTAAGAATTTTAATCATCTTTAATGCATGAGTCAGTAACGAATTCTGAGTAATTTTAAATATCAAGAAATTATAAAATTTATGAACTATGCAATCGAAGAAATAATTAATGCCCTTACGCGTAGTTTGGCTCATCGTCCATTTTGTTTTTTGTTATTAGTCTTGAGATAATAATGTATTGTAAGTAGTACGTTAAAATACTTAATGACGAAGTCAATTGAACAAAAATGAAGTAAAATTTTCATTATGTATTTAAAATTGGGCAAATGAATAATTATTATCTACAAAGTCGGCGCAACTTAAACGGTACTAATGATGCTAAGTTTCATCGGCGTGACCGCTGAAAAACAAGACGTGGAGACGGCACATTTCTCGTTATAATTTGACTAAATAAAGACACATGGACCTGGTAATTGAATCGAATGTGTAACAGTTAATGGACTGAGGGTTATTTCGTTGATATGCTTTGAACTATGTTAATTGGTATGGTTGGTTCTGATTACTGATACGTTTTGCGTATAAGACGCATATGTGGCGAAATTATTTATGCACATCCTAAAATAACTTGGAAATAGAGCTGTTATACACGTATTAGTCAATTTCGATGTGAGATTTAATTTATTTTAAAGAATATGAATCTGAAAGATTGGTTTAGTTGGTTACCATAATATATATATGTGAAAGATTGGTTGGGTGGTTCTTTTTCCAACCAAAATCTTGGAAAATTAGTTTTGGCAGTCTTAATATCTTTAATTTTTGTCTGTAAATTTTAATGTCTGTATTATCCGTATTTTGGAGGGTGTTTGTGAATACAAGTGTTTTTAAAATATATCTTTTTCTTTCTTAACTTTTGGTCCACGTTCAGTTGTAGATAACAGCAGGAAACCATAGAGTGCGCTCTAATTAGTAAGGAAGCTGACTCTCTCTCGCAATCTCAGCTCATCATTTAATATGAAGCATTCAATAACTTAGTTTAGGTTACTGTTGAGTTAATGAAAGCTTTAATTTTCGTTTTTTGTGTATTTTTCAGCTAGTTTCACAAACGCCCATTATAATTATCATTAGTTTAAAGCGCCATTAACAGTCATTAGAGATTAAAGGCGTCATTTGCACGTTTGTGCAATTGGCCGTTTGAGATTAAAAAATTCTGTCCATATAAAAAAAAATATCTAAGAAGAAAAACAGAGCCCATTTTTCTGATCACATAGTCAGAGAGGTAAGTCAGTTTACCTAAAATTTCGAGTATTGTACTTATCGTAAGGATGTAAGCTTGATAATAGTATTATTGCAGTATACTTATATTCGGGCTACGCATCAAATCAATATATTCCTTCAGCAAACGAGAAGTCACTGTAACTCTAAAGATATTTGAGAAAAAGGCAAAACAAAATGATTGTGTTTTACAGAAGGATTTTTTTAACATGAAATAACGCAGAAAAAATATGTGCAACAGATCCTGCACGTTTTTTCATTGCAGCCGTCGATATAGATAAATCAATAAAGTACCCGTCTGAGTAAATTAATTCAAATTTTTAAATAATGGCATAGAAAGATATAGATATAGTATCGATAACTTATTTATCTACGAGAAAGATTAAGCCAATTTGAGGCTTGTTAGAGGTTAATATTGTAGTTAGTTAGGTTAATAGGTATAAGGAAGTAATATTTACTCCCAGAAGGTACCTGAATATTTCTGATAATAAGTAATGTATATACGTAAAGAAAAGTTTGTTACGAATAAAATAAACATATAGCTTTTGTGTAACGGCGAAATGTCATTTATTCATCTGATATTTTTTCTTACTTTCTTTTTATCAAACAAAATATTAACTTCAAGCAATATATATCAAAGCCACATTCTTTAAAAAAGTTGTACACTATGTACACATAAAAAAAACCATACAAAATTTCAAGAGGAATGACGTAATACAGTATTTTAAAAAATTATGGCTTAATATTATATACTCATCCTGCAAATAGCTTGCCAAATGTCGTAACCGTACCTAGTTCAATAGGATGAATAAATCAAAATCAGGATGTATAATATCGTGAAAACAGAAAATACATGTGACACTGTGACGAAAAGTATTTGGTTTCACTAAAGAAAACGCACTTTTTTTAATTAACTAAAAAGTAAATGAACGAGACTCATTTTGTTTTTCTCAGAAATATTTTTTTTATATAAAACCCTAAGAAAAATTACTTGTTTTATATAAAACTTTAGTAAGTTTTATATAATAAATTGCACTATTACATTAACATTTTCTTACAATCGTATCTCGTTCTCGTACATCTCGTACGCGTATTTCGTAGTCGAGAGTCCCGAAATCAAACTAAATGCCGCTACGGTACTTTTTTGATTTCATTATGTCAACATTTCCGATTTTTTTTAATGTATGAAAGTAAATAAATTTTCAAAACTCAATAAAAAACTTATAATATATTTGTACTTTTTCGTATTTGTATTGAACTATGCAAAATTTCAGTTTTCTAATATGTGAGTTAAAAGGAACGGAAATGACTATCTTTGGTCCATTCGTTAAACTTTTGCTAGAGTCGCCATCTCGTGAGGTGCTTTTAGTGCTTTCGTTTTTTTTAATACTGCCTCATTCCTTTTACCCAAGTTATTTAATACTATTACTCGACTATAGGTACGGGTGTTATGCACGTTTTCACTAAACTTAAGATGTCGCCCAAATCTGTCGCCTTAATATTTAGGAATCGCCTAAAGTAAAAAGGTATTTCACCATTGAATAGGAACCACGTAATGAAATTAAGCAATATCTAAAGTTATGTCATTCGTTATGCGGCGTCTTGCGCCAGGCATTTGCGTATATGACAGGTAAAAACTATATCAAGGGATAAAAGAAAAATTATTTTTTTGAAATTAAACTAATCTGCTTTAGGTATCATAATATTAGGTGTTTCCTAATTAAGTTATGCCTTGTTCTAGGTTAGTGGATATGGGTGTAGAGACTGGATTGTGCCATCTAGCGTAGAATAGAAATACTTAATACAAATATCTAACACCGCCATCTAGTGACAACTATTGTAAGCACGTTGCAAATAAAATGTAATAGAAAAGCATTATTTGTAGACTATATGCTGCTTGCTTTGGAGTCATTATAACCTTAGTAAATTACAATTTAAAAGATTTTGTGAAGTAAAACTCATAATGAACCGTAGTGCGTTTACATAAAGTGTAAAAATTAATTTTGTCTTACTCCTCAAATTTGATGCATTATCAAAGTCGATTTATTTATGACATTGACGTTTAAACTGTCATTTTTCATTGTAGTTTTATCATACACGTTCAGCGCAATGCAGAAAATCTCGTTTGTTGATTCCAGGTGATTGTACCTGAGTGAAACGTAACCTTATAAATAAAATACGCCGATCACAATGCCACCAAGTAGTTTACGAGTCGTCTACGCGTTCGCAAGAGAAATGCATCCAAAAACAAGCGATGTTTTCATTCAATACGGAACTGCCGGATTTCGCACAAAGTAAGTTGGAATTTGATTTCTTTTTACTTATTTACCTTTGGCATTTGCTAACTAGGTCATTAAGCAATACTTTAAAAGAATATTCTAAGGCCTTTCTCTTTAGATTTGCATATAACACGTAAGCAGTTGACTTCCTATTTTGGATATTGCAATTCTATTAAAATTGTGAGTCATCTGATAGCATTACTAACGGGATGTGTGCCGTCACTAAGACAACGATGGTGGTCAATGACTTTCGGCAGTTTAATTATAAAGCAAATGCAATGAGCCATATGATACCTACATCAAATTTATAAATTCTTTCTCTACTAGTATTTTATTGTTCTTCCTGTTATTGGTCAATTGAAGACCTTGTTTGTCATATAATCGGTATTGTCAGCACAATGAGTGGCATTGGAATAAATTAAAAAGTTCATTCCAAAGCATAATTCCCTCTGTTTCAATTAAATTCACAAATAGGTATATCCTATTTACTTTGTTAAAATATACTAAACAATATTCATGGTTGATTAAATATGCATAAACTATTGTAGTCAATGATTTGCATAATTTGAAATTAATTGTAAATCTGGAATATTTCAAATGGAAGAACCGTGAAATTTAACAGTCTACTTTGATAAATACAATTATAGCTACGCTATGTGGCATACATACAAAGCCAAATTAAACAATAACAAGGAAATTAATATAAATACTTATTTGTTTATCTAAAGATTGTTTTCTTTTCATATAAATGTTGCTTTTATTTATTATTATATGTTCTAAGTACAGTGGAATGAACTCCGATAAGATACACTTGCTTGTCAACTGAACACACCTCATTTAAAAATATACCTATTTTATTTTTATTTGGAATGCTTCTCAAACATTTTGGCATATAGCCAAAGTATTTGAAGTTCCATCCATCAATTTTATTATTTGATATGAAAACAGTCTACATTTATTGCTTATCCATTTTGAGAGTATTAAATGGACGTTAAACTATATACCTGTTTTTATTTTATTTTATTAAAACTTGAAATAAGTTACTTAAATTTGGTTACTACACTATAATCTGAACTATTTATTACTTCCAAAGTAATTTTATTCTAAAATTATAATTATTATCTTTGTTGCTCAGTGTAAATTAAAGGGATTGTGAGCAAAGAATTTTCAGAATAATAAAACATACTAATTTTAACAAAATCTATTGTGTCTTAAAATAATCCATTTATAATATACTTTAAAATCAAATATACTGAAATGAGTTCAGCGATTACATTAATATTAATATGGTCACTTTTATTTCAATGCTAGGTTAGATCTGCTGTCCTATATTTAGCAATCCTAATTTAAATTGCAGATTACTTAATGATATTTGGTTGTTGCTCATCACTTATTAAACTACTAATTTGATGTCTTACTCATATGGGTTTGAATTGGATTAAGATAACACATGTTATCGTATGATAAATAGATTGTTAATGTGATAAATTGGTTATAGTTACACTTATGAGTTAAATGTTTTTTTTTTGTTAATTTTCATATAAATATATGAATAATAATAGAAATAATAGAAATGATCAAACAACGGAAATATTTCAAATTCAATACTTGCAAACATTGTAACAAACCACTGAGGTTCTTCTACAACTAGCTATTTACCTGCAACTTTGCTTGCAAAAATAATAGCCTATGTTACCCGTCTATGATGTAGCTTCCTATAGGTAAAAGAATTTCTTAAATAGGTCCAGTAGTTTCGGAATCAATTCAATGCAATCAAATGCAAATGTTTATATCAAGCAAAAAGCATTCTTTACATGTTATAATATAAAGTTAGAATTTTATCCATCTCCCTCCTCCCCATCAGTCTGTCTGAATGATTTTAGAACGAATTGTCATGCAGTATTTTACCATAACAGAACAATTAATCATTAGGATGGTTTTGATGGTTGACAATTTTATCTATAATTCCCACTTGTGTTCCGAAGCGCAGATTGCTTTCAGAGGAGTTTGAGATAACTATATTTTTAGTCAACCATCCTATGACCAACCCTCGCGAAAGTTGCTTAACCTCAGCATCATAGACTCAATATCTCAATATGCATTTAACTTTTTGCTTTCCTAAAATGAGTCAAAAAGTTTTATTTATGCTATAGTTTAATCTTGATTTTGGTTCATAAATATTTACCATCATTTACATACAATTTATTTTTTGTTCACAGAGCTAATCTTCTTGAACATGTAGTCTACCGTATGGGTCTGTTGGCTGTAATTCGCTCAAGAGTTAAAAATGGTTAGTATATCTTCCGAATAAAAGAAAATACTTTTTTTTGCAAAATGTGATAAAAAAAAATATGTATTGCTTCATAAGAAGGCGTCAGGCTATAACACTATCCCTGTCTAACTCATTTCGCCTTATTGGATAGAGAATGGCGAATTACGCGGCCACGAGGTTTTAGATTAATTACTAGCAAACTATTATAATTATTTAAATCTGTTACAAACTCATTTCAACTCGTAACGGTAACTGTCTGTTCTATTTTTAATTATTTTGATTAAAATTATCATCTCTGACACGGAGGTTAAGTAATTTTCTGAAAGGCTGGTCATAGGGTCATATTAAGAAGGTAGGTTAAGTCATTGGTCTCGGTTGAAGATGCGCCGAATATTCATTTGGCATTCGGTATTCGGCGTCTTTTTCACTATTTGTATTCGGCCGAATTATTCGCTTTTGTTGCCGAATATATTTGGTCCAATCATTTCTATTCTCTTGTCTACGTGACATGGTATTGATATAAAAGACAAAACTTCTTATGTCTTCTTGTGTTTAAGATTTATGTAACATTTAATTTTAAATTTGTTTATGCGGCATAACAATGAAATGGTAAACCGAATAAGTCGGACGAATATCCGGTTCGGTGAAGGTTGAATCGAATAGTATTCGCTATTCAAATTACTATTTGGTGCATTTCCAGCCCCGGCTGTATATGCAGCCGCTATTTCTGACTGATACGCGCTGAGCCGATGTGAGAACTTTTTGTTAATAGTAAAACCAAATTAAGGACCATAAGTATGTACCTCCCAACGTTCATTAATATCCGTCTTGTAATAAATATCCAAACTATTCATTCAGATTATATTAGTAGCAGAGAAGCGTATATATATTATTCTCCATTTTCCAGGTCGCACAATAGGTATGATGATAACGGCATCGCACAATCTGGAGCCCGACAATGGAGTGAAACTGGTCGATCCCGATGGTGAAATGCTTGAACAGAGCTGGGAAGAGATAGCCACCAGACTCGCTAATGTCAGGTAACCATAAGCGTATTGATTATATTATATTTGGCGAAACCATTAACGCGGAGAAGCGGTGATTTATTAAATCTATACAACTCATGTGTTCGACATCTATCTCGCTCAGCTTCGACGTCTTAGTTTGTGGGAAAACTGTGATTGGAACTCAGTGGTGTTATGCGATGTGCGAACTTAACTCAGCTCCAATCCATAAAAGAAAAGAAATGTTACTTATTTATTAGCTATTGCAATGAGTGTGCAATCTGAGATTTTTTATATGAAGAAAACAGACTTTAGTTCTCTAAAGAAAACTGCTTTTAAAGTTTAAAAATGTTATACCCGCAAAACATTATTTACAAATTACGAATCTCCCTGGTCTCCAAATAAAAATATGCAAATATATTATTCTATTTTAAACAATAACTAATTTAAATTATCACTAATGTTGGGTAGACTCAACCTTTAAAAAAAAACATGTGACAGGTCAATCAATGTTGGAAACTGGACATGATTCTTTGTCAATAAATGTACTTGGAAATCGTCAAATATAATAGGTATACAATAAAGCTATTTACACATTACGACCGACGCCAATAAAATCATATTTAGTTCTGTAAAAAACTGCATTAAGTAGTTTAAAATATTATTTTTCTATTAATATTCCATGAAAAAATAATAATGTAAAGATTTTTTTTTAATTCAAGTAAATTATCTGAAAGGAGTCTGAATTTTTTCTGAACGACAAACTCCGTTAAGGGTTAAAATATATGTTCACAATAGTGTTTAGAATGAAGACAGTTTAAAGTCAATATAAGTATTCATTTGAGGGCAGCTGCAGTAAAGATAATGTCCCATCTGTGAGCAATATTAGCCCCCCACGTGGAGTATGTTTAGTTAAATATAGGTCGGATTGCTTCTAACCGACAAAATATATTCTCCGTTGTAAATTTAGCTGTGACATACATTGCATAAGTCTGTTTAATGGTAACTCACCTTTATTGAATGCTAGCGTGAATTTCGGAATTGAAAATCATTGGGAGCTTTGGGGAGTGACCTATTTTGTTTTAATCCAAGATAAACTTCGCTTATGTGTTAATCTAATTTATTGAGTATCAGTATAATGTCTCTTAAAATTTATTTTATACTTTACTGTTTAATGTACATCTCTCCTCTTTAATATACTCTTTACTAAAAATGGCCAATAACTAATAAAAAAATACCACTAAATTATATTAGTTTTCCTCGATAATATTATTTTACCTAAAAGGTGAACTAAACGAGGCTTTACTTTAAATACAGATTTTAAACTAAACGTACTTAGTAGTTTTAATAAAATGTAGTCTGTGGTATCTTCAAAGTTACAGTAACGCTATGTATATGTTGCAGTATATCTAATAATTTTATATCAACTTTTGTTCTAGAGATTTTTTGTTATACTGAAAAATAAAAACGTAATTATGTGAAAAGCTATTTCACTAATTTTATCATTGGAAGTCTCGCCACCAAATTCTTCTACTCGATATACGAAAATAAAAATGGTCACGCACATTTCCTCTCTCAAGACAACTCAAAAGAAACCGTGACAAACTGTCACGACATATAACTAATTGCGTCTGAAATTCTTACATATTTTCTTAGTTACCTACTAACCAACGACGATATTGTCGACAACTGCTGTAAACTTGTCAATAAATGCACTTATCAATCAACGAACATTCCGTTATTTGTGTTATTACTGCATTATAGGTGTAACATAAAGCTATTCTCACATTACGTCCTAATGTGCGTGAGAAATTTTAGTAGCCCCACTGATTGACAAGTTGTATTGCTTCTGGAACTCGTACACCCCTGTGATTCTGTAAAAATCTACCTATGCACGTGAACTTCCGACACATGATTGCAATTCGAATTCGGCCTCTGATTTTTTGAAATCGCTCTACAGATCTTTAAGGGTACCGCCATTTGTGGGTTCCAAGGTTCTCATTTCTGACCGAGAGCGGATTTTGGTATTTTTTCTCCTCTAGCTTTTAAAGCTACATAGGTATTACTTAATAATTAGGCGCGTACATCCAAAATTACTAACTTTCAACTGGTTATGGGCAATAAAATATCGTCTAAATAAGATGTAATGCGAAATGAAAGAAACTACATAACATTTCTGAGGGTTATGTCACAACCGAAACGGGAATTTTGTATTCTTAATGAATTTTATAATTTTCTCAATAGAAAAAATCACAAAGTCAATTTTACAATGCAGTTAATTAGCTTCTTTGGCTGCCTTTGGCTTGTTACGCCCTAAAAATCGAATCTGTTCCGTTTATCGTATTTGTATTCGTGAAAGTATATATAGGTTTTTGAATTTAGACTTCTCGTTGTTTACAATTTTTTTTTCCAACAGTGACAATGACTTAGAATCAACTACGGCAGAGATCATCAAGCAGGTCAACGCTGATATGTCACTCAAGGCCAGCGTCTTTATCGGAATGGACACAAGGTATATATACCATCGAATATATAATAAATCATTATAATCATAAGTACTAACTGATTTTAGTGTATTTTTTGTACCATGCTTATTCGCTGGGTGCGGAATAAGTACTAGGTGTAGGTAACGCAATCTATCGCAGTGCTCATGGTGGCTCAAAGTAAAAACATTGCGAGCTCTATCATCTGTCAAACCATACTATGTACTTATATTTCTTTCCACTGAATTAATGTGAAAACTGTTTATTAATAATTATTTATAATAGAATTATTCATTTTATTTTATTTTAAGTCATTAAAGTGGATGATTGGGGGCTTGCTACGTCACAGTTTCGTAGAAAATTTACAAAAGAGTGACGTCATGTATCGTCGTAATTTAATGATTACGCAAAAAATACGTGTTCAATATTTTTCAAAGATCTACCTGACAGACAAAAAAAAAATTGTCGTCATATCTATAATATTCTGATTGCTTACTTCTGTTATCATTATCATTATTTGTACAAGTATGTTTTAAATACAATTACTAAAAATAAAACCGCTGAAGTCGTGCACGTAGCCAATATTGCACGCTCATTAGTCAAAGGTTTGTTATTATTCAAATAACAGAGCTTATAATAAATATTATCTGACTCGAAGTCGAATGTCAACGAGTTTATAGTTCTGTATTCAAATATATTATTTTGTTTCAAATTGTATTTCCAAAATGCTTACTATTATACCTTTCTATAAATGTGCAATAAAATTGTCATTAACTTTAATTATTATTACCGATAAAAAGTTCCTGAAGTAGAACATTCAATCACGAGCTTAAAGTCGTCATTAAAGCTTAGTAAACGTTTGCGCAATTGGGCGTTAGATTCATGTTGTAATAATTATAGAAAAAAGTACAATCTCGAATGTTTCAATTTCATGGTAAACCAAGTATCAATTAACATTATGTATATTGTCTCAGGTATCTCAATGTGTCTGATCTGTATTAGGTATACCAGTCCTCGTCTCGCGGCTGCCGCTTCTAATGGCGTGATAGCTCTGAAGGGCACCCCGAAAGAGTTCGGCATCGTCACAACACCGATGTTGCATTACTGCGTCAAATGCCGGAACGATAATACATATGGAACACCCACTGAAGAAGGTAAAATATAATAAATTGTATATAATTAATATTTAGAAATAAAAATATTACTAAACAAATGATGATGGAATGATAATTTTAGGTAGAATACTAAATCAAGAAAACTTGTAAAGTATTACTAAAATTTTTAAAGTATTACATAGACGTAAGTTTCCAAGACGGCTTTCTAAAATAAATTTAATAATGTTATGATGTAAAAACAACGAACATATAAAAGAGTGTGCTCTCTGAAAGCGGTCATATTTAATTATTCGGTCACGTGACACAAAAGTGAAAGTTCGTATTTAGCCGTTCATCAATATTTTTTATTAATGTATTTCTTTCATTTTATAGGATATTACGAGAAAATAGTGGGTGCGTTCAAGAATATTCGTCAGAAATTACCGGTGTACGGCGAATATAACACGACTCTGTACGTAGACGGAGCGAACGGTGTAGGCGGCAAGAAACTGAATATTATCAAAAAGAGTTTGGACGGGGAACTAGACTTGCATCTATACAACTTGGGCGGCAACGGTGGTAAATTAAACCTTAATGTAAGTGAATTAAAATTTATTTTGCAGATATGTGATATGAAGTTTTTTATAATGTTTTGGTTCTTGGATAATGTCTGTGCCGGCTAGACTAATTTACTTTCCGAATAATAAGGGTAGAGATTTTTTCATATGAACTAAAATAGTCCCTTACAACAGATCTCAGTAGTTAATAGAATTTATCCACATCTAAAGCCTCATTAGTTCAATGGTGAAATCGTGGGAATTAAGGACCTTAATGAAATAAAGTACACAACATAATGCAGCATCATTATGCTTTAAATTAATACACCATTAGAATTTTGTTCAAATTAAATTAATTAATAATTCTTTGCCAGTGCGGTGCAGATTTCGTCAAGGTGTCACAAAAGCCGCCGGTGGGCGTCGAACATGTGCCGTTCCAAAGAGTTGCCTCCCTGGATGGCGATGGTGATAGAATCGTTTACTATTATGTGGATGATAAGTAAGTACACGACATGCATGAAAACCATAGTTCTTAGAGCAATCGTGAGGGGTACACGAATGCAAGGGGATGACAAGTCAATCAAATTCGTCACTGATTAAGAGTGACAAATTTTATTAAGCATGTATACTTTTTTCATTACCATAATGCCCCACCTATGCGCTGTGTGATACCTATATAAATACACATATTTTTTCCATTGTATTCCTGATAACCTTCATTTGCACACTATAATTTTTTTTTCAATATAGAATAGACTAAATAAATAGAATTGTATATAATAAAATTGATAATGGCGAATGTTTATTTTATGATAAACTCGCTCGTAAGGGGTCGCCCAAATCTGACACCTAAATAATTGGTTATTGTCTAAGGTGAAAATGTATTTCACCAATGACAAGGATATACCTAACGACTTTAAGTAATGCTTAAAGTTAAGACATGCATTGTGCAGCGCCTAGCGCTGGTCATTTGCGTAATGTTACAGTTACATTTACTTTTTGGCCGTAACGGACGTGTCAAGGGATAAAATCAAATGAGTGAGTTGGAATCAAGGCGATCAATTTATATATTAAAATTAATTGTAAGATATAAAAAAACGTCTTATCCATATTCTTTTTTCTATGTATTTATAATACAAAGTACCAAAAATCAATTTACACTGATATTGATTATAACCTAATGAAATTAAATGAAAATATTCATTATCTAAACTGTGTATTGTGGAACTGGGCTGACAGTAAGGACGGCCGTAAGATACTTGTCAGCTCTAAAATTTGTAGCAATATTTGCATAGCCTTAAGTTATATGAAATAAATGAACTGACTTTAATCAGGCTTAAATTTATTTCCCGTATTTTTATTTATTTATTTGTAAAGCAAATTTTTTTCTTCCACTTTGCTCTACTGACAGATTTTATAACTGTAACATTAAGATGCAAATCTTTGTGATATTTAATTTTTTATAGGTTATATTATAGTAAAAACTGAAATAAATATTAAATGATTTTCTATCAAATATAGAATTAACTTTAAAATTTCTGGGTGTTAAATTTAATATGGAACATATATTTCTTCAACTATGTTTTTCGCGTCTTGAATGTAACATCCTAATTGTGATTTTATTATTGTTTCCAGAGACAACATGATCCTGCTAGACGGTGATCGCATAGCGACACTACTAGCTAGTTACGTGACGGAATTGTTGAAATCTGCTGACGCTACTGACTTGAAACTTGGTTTGGTACAGACAGCATACGCCAACGGAGCTTCTACTAGATATATCACCGAAGAATTGGTACGAATAGGGTTATTTATGTTGCAGTGTATATGATGATGTTAAGCCTGTGGTAGACTTGTCCATGGGGATTGGGCAATGGGCTGTTACTGCACGGTTGCAGAACATTTCGTCCCTCGATCTTTATGTCTACTGATAGATGTCGTAACATTTAAGGTTCACTTTACTATGACAAAATTGGCTAGATGCATCTGTGCGAGCGCAATACCAAAATGTTTGCGCACTAGTGAAAAGGATATGTAGTGCCGGATCATTGAACGAAATTTTTCTGTTCGCCGACAATACTTACATTGTAGGTCCATGGTGTTGATGTTGAAAATTGATTAACATTAGTTTTTTTTTTATTTATTATCATAACAATATCGAGTGAGATAGAATTTAAAGACTCCGTTTATGGCATTTGGTTTTCTCTGCCTACCTTGTAAAGAATAAATAAACAGTAGACAACATTACATACTTTGCTCAAAATTCAAATTAGGTGGCTAAAGCACCTGTGTTACGGAGTATCTGTAACAACGGAGTTGCCACAACGCCCTGCCCAGAGACAAAATAGAATAGTTCATTTTAGACATTGAATCGAACGGGAATCGAACCCGGGATCTCGGAAATGGCAATATCTTGAAACCGGCGTGCGTATCGCTCGTCCACTCAGATAGTTATGGCGTTCGCCTGGCTGTACACATGTAATATGTTTATATATAAAGTATATATAATAAGTTAAAATCTTGAAATTAATTTACAAAATTTCCGCAAAAATGCCATTTCTGCTATGGCGTCGCTATAACGTCACGCTCCTCTAGAAATATCGTTTTATCGATGCTTTGGGCTTAGTTCTCTGAGTTCTGATATGAGCGTGATGTCACGCGCTGTTTGCGGTCACGTGACAACAAGTATAAAATACTTGTTTTTTTTTTTATAATTAACTTAAGCAATATTATAAATATACTAAGCATGAAAGTGAGCTTATCGGTAATAGTAACCAGAAAAAAAAGTATTTGTTTTAGTTTACTGTCTACTTGCTTGCAGAAGCCTTTTGTGATATACATTAGAGCCACATCGGTTGTATCTTATTGTAGATAGATTATTGTTACCTCTTAATAGATTTTGTATATTTTTCAATATGAATATTAACAGGAAATCATAATTTCCAGAAAGTGCCAGTGAGTTGCGTGAAAACTGGCGTGAAGCACCTCCATCACGCGGCGTTGTCATTCGATATCGGCATTTATTTCGAAGCTAATGGCCACGGCACGGTTGTATACAGCGAAAAAGCCAAAAAAGCAATCAATAACATATCTAAAGACGGGTAAGGAATACATTTTTTTTCGTTAATAGTTATGTTTTTAATCATAATAATCGCCGTAAATTAATCGTCATAATGATCTATATCTCCCAAACTAGGGTCCCTTGAAACTAATATGTCAAATAGTTCCGACTAAAATGTCAATACGTGCGTGTGAGTGTGTCAAATATCTACAATCGATTTTGAGCTTTATTCATTACTCATTAAGGATTAAAAGAAATTTGATAGAGAATACTAACACTTTTTCCTGTTCGTGTTCAATAAATTATTCATTTATTCATATTACTTCTCATTACTAATTTATATCATATAAAATTCTAGAATGATAAATAATAATAGTTTAATTTCGGACGTGTTCCATAGTTTAGTTATTAAGATAAGCACTGAGAATCTATATTCATATATAAACATCCAAAAATGAAAGTATTAATGATATTAATAAAATTTTTTTTTTCAGAGAACCAGAGCAACGGAAAGCTGCCCAACTTCTTCTTAACTTCATCGATATGACCAATGAAACAGTGGGCGATGCTATTTCGGACCTCTTCTTAGTAGAGACTATTTTGTGTGCTAAGGGCATTAACGTTAAACAATGGTTGCAAACTTACACGGATCTACCCAACAGGCAACTTAAAGTTACCGTAAAGGTAAGTTTCTTTTATATAAACACATAAAATATACACATATAAATATTCAGAATTTTTTAAAGTTAATATGTGTTTTATGTCATATTCATTAAAATATTTAACAATTATACGAACTTGTTCAGTGTTTTTTTTAATGTTCATGCTAAAACTATCTTTCGCAATCAGATTTCTCGCAACATTACCATACTTTATTAATATTATTACCATACTATAATAATATATGTGATACGCATGTTCATTAGCCATGAAAACAGCTTAATGTAGGTACGGATAGAATTGTAATTGTCAAAGAAGCGAACGAACGTATGCAAATGATTGTAGCGCTCTGTTCTTTTCGCAAGGGATCTGGTGTGAATAAACATCTGTCAATCTTAACTACTACTTTAACTTATATGCTATTCCTATAAGTTAAAGTAGTAGTTAAGATTGACAATAAAAACAAGACTATAATTTTATGATACAGTAAATTCTAGAGATTAAGGGTATGTTCCGATATACACTGCGAGCACTGCGCAATGATCTTACTGCTGAAAAATCCGTTCCGTTATGGACTGCCAGTACACTGCTACAGTACCCTATGGAAATTTATGACGTCATAAATTGCCGCCATATTTGTACTGTGAGCACTGGAGATTTCGAGGTAAGGTGCTCGCAGTGCTTTTGATCACGTGATCAGTCGAAACAGAATCAGAAAATGATAAGTTTCTAAATAAACAAAAAAAAAATACTTAGGAACGGATTTTTCAGCAGTAAGACCACTGCTCAGTGCTCGCAGTGTATATCGGAACATACCCAAAAAGTCGCCAGTATAACTAGCTACGAGGGTCAAACTGAAAGTTCTTAGAAAATCAAAAACTGATTACATTAGCCAGTTATTAGTTTTATTATATCTTTTCAAAATATTGTCCATTCACGTCAATACACCGCTGCATGCGATGGAACCACTGGGAAAAGCACTTTGCCCACTCGTCCTTAGGGGTCTCTTCAATGGCATCGCGATACGCAGCCACCGCTTCTTCAGCATTCATAAACCGCTTTCCTTTAAGTTTTTCTTTAATTTTTGGAAATAAATAAAAATCACAAGGCGCGAGGTCGGGGCTATACGGCGGGTGACCCAGTAATTCAACGTTTGATGTCGCCAAATAGTCGATCGTTCGCTTGGCGGTGTGCGACGAGGCGTTGTCGTGGTGAAGGAGGATCCTACTGCGAGGTCGTTTCTCTCGAACTTTTTCCAAGACAAGTGGCAAACAATTGGTAGTGTACCATTCTGCAGAAACTGTTTTTTGATCCTCTAACACAATTGTTGCAAAATGACCTATCCTTCCAAAGAACGAGGCCACCATTTTTTTTCCCGCACTTCGATCTCTCTTCACTTTAGTTGGCAACTCCTCGAAAGGAAACACCCACTGAGCAGATTGTCTTTTGGTTTTAGGATCATAACAGTAAATCCAGCTTTCGTCACCTGTTAGTATGTCGAACACAGCATTTGAGTCACCTCCGTTAAATCTTTCAATAATTTTACGACACCAATCCACACGATGGAGTTTTTGAGCCTCAGTCAAATTATGAGGTATCCACCGGGCGCAAAGCTTCCTGACCGCTAAATGTTCGTGGAGGATTTTGTGCACTTGACTCATACCGATGCCTAAGCTTGTCCGAATCTGTTGATAGGTCACTCTTTTGTCAGTCTCTATCATACGCCGCACAACACAGATGTTATCTTCAGTCGTCGCCGTAGAAGGCCGTCCCTCACGTAAATCATCAGTGAGATTAGTGCGACCACGTTTAAACTCATTAAACCAGTTGTAAACAGTCGCACGAGATGGGGCTTCATCGTGAAAGGCCAATCGTAGTCTATCATAACTTTCTTGTTGACTTAAATGACATCGAAAGTCATAAAAAATCATTGCACGAAAATTTTCTCGTGTTAAATTCATGATGACGTGACACAGACAATTTTCAATTTGCCGCCAAATCGTAAAACAAATGACAAATGAATGAAATATATACTCAGTAATATTGGCAAAGAGTTATATTTTCAAATTTTAGAATTATTTTTTTATTATATTGTTTATAAGTGGCCAGTTCTAAGAACTTTCAGTTTGACCCTCGTATAAAGGAACGGGCTTCCAGTATACTAAATTGACGTCATACTGTTCAGTGGTCGCAGTGTATATCGGAACATACCCAAAACCAAGCTTTTATTTGGCCGGATACCGGATATCCGGAAGACTAAAACTCTTCACCGGGTATTTGTTGGAACATTGCCATTTGGTGTATCATATGAAATGAGCTTGCATTAGTGGCATTAAGAATCATCGAGCGGACTTTTCAAATCTTTATTTTGGTACATATTTGTAACATTTAATGAGTTTTGAATTGATTGTGATTACGATCAACGAGACAAGAAGAAAAATTCAGAAATTCGCAGTTAAGCCTAATAAACTTCTAAGTCGTATGATAGTGTACTAGATATAAATTAAAGTTTTTTTTAAACTTTATTAATAAGCGAGAAAAAATAAAAACTAATATTTGAGTGATTTAAACAAAGTAATTTCCCAAAACATTATTACATTAATATATATTTTTTAATAATGGCAGGTGTCCGGTATGATTGTGCTGAATATCCGGTATCCGTATATTAAATATCGGTTTCATCTCTGAAATAATTTGTACGTGCTTTCTAATAATTGATGGATGCTTAATTTGTTAATGTCTGTCGTCCAGGATCGTAACGCGATATCGACCACGGATGCTGAACGGCGTTGCACAAGTCCCGAGGGATTGCAGACTCGTATAGACGAAATAGTTAGCACGTACAAGAGCGGCAGATCGTTCGTGCGACCGTCCGGTACTGAAGATGTGGTCAGAGTTTATGCAGAGGCAGATACACAAGAGGTAATTATCTATGGTCAATTCCTGTAGCTCAGATATAATATTCGAGCCTAAAAAGAGAACGATAGATATCGTCATACATAGACCTGTGTCGTTTCCTTTTTGTTTTCTTTAAGATAAATTATCTAATATGCTATATGGATGATTAACTCAAGATGGCTGTTAGCATTCTATTTGACGATTTGTATAACTTTATATGTGTTAACTGCACATTAAAAAGGGTTGCAATGAATTTAGCTTCCACATACAACAATATAATTTATTTACTCGAGGTAAAGTTTGCGATACGCACGACCATGATAATTGGTAATTGTGAAATCTTTGTATCAAACTCAAAAAACTTATAATTAATTATTATAACTTGAACATTATGGAAGACGATCTAACATAACATATATGTCTGTTCTATGAATAAATTTAAACCAATATTATAAATAGAAAAGATTTAATTGTTTGTTTGCATTGAATAGGCTCCGAAACTAAAGAACCGATTTTTAATTCTTTCACCTACGAGTAGCTACATTATACGCAGATAATGCAAATAATTATTTACGTGGGCGAAGTCGCGGGAAAACAACTAGTAATGCATAAAATTTAATATTAATAATGTTTCTTTCAGTCTGCCGATAAATTAGCCGCTGAAGTTGCGAGGGCTGTATTCGATCTCGCCGGCGGCGTAGGCACTAGACCAGAGTTGCCAACGTAAATAATGATGATGCAGATTACTTAACACCTCATCAATTTTTATACTAATAATCAGACTAATGAACAATTTATAAGTTTATATGTGTACAATATCGATAAAGGTTCGATTATATGAGATTTGATAACACAACGCTTTTACGTTGTTCATTAGGTATTATTACGGGATACGTTATTTGAAAGAGGGTCGAATAGAGAAAAAATAAGCTTTAAAATAAAAATAAAAAATAATAACAACACACGTCGCTACAATAAAAATAAAAACACTAATGCATTGATTTCGAAGATTAATTGATAGAAGTGATGAACAAAGTTAGTTTCATATTAAAAGATCGAAAAACGCTCTCTCTTGTTATAAAATATATACGTGGTAAAAATTTGACAATCGGGTCGTCTAACTAAAAATACGTATCCGTTTAATAGTAAGCGATATTCCGGTACATCAGTGACTTAATATAGCGATGCGATTTACATTAAATACAACTATGTCATCATTAAATTTGTGTGACATGGTCTTATATATATTTAGTTGCTAGTAAGTGTATCCTTGAAATTCTAACATTAAACTCCCAAGGATTTGTCTAGTTTACCATAAATACCCGTAAAAATAAATATATAATAAACTGCGACTATCAAGTACCGGGAGTATTTATTTCAATTTGTTTAATCTACAATAACGCGACATAGCAATTGATAATGTATTACAAATTCTATCTTATCTAACATAAGAAATGCCTATTCACAGCTCAGTAGCAGTAGCAAAATGTTTGCTGTGGAAATAAAACTCTAAGCTAAGCTCTAATAAAAAGGCGTATATACTTCCATCATATAGCACGAAAGGTTTTTCTTATGTTAGATAGCCTTTAACTCCCATTAGGGTGAAAATCAGACTAACTTTTGCCAATTGACTTTAAACCTAAATATGTTGGTGACCGGATTAAAAATTGTGAAATTTTATGGTCATAAGACAGCACGGCAGTGCTTTGTACATATATCGATTGGATTTTATAGAACAATAGAGTTTTCAGTTGTAATGAAATATTGAAAGGTTAAAACCATTTGGTTTGTTATGTTATTAAGAATTTGACCAATTTAATGACGTCCTTCGTAGATTTATAGTAGGAGGTTCTGATTTTGCATCCAAACAAAACCCGTGTGTAGTGTGAGAGCTTAATTTTAATTCAATAATATACAACGCACTGGCTAGTCTTTTTTATTGTTTTTATATAATTTTAAGTTTCGTAGCGATTTTTTAATTTACCTCTGCTATACAATTTAAATCTTATAAATGTTAGATTTTAAATTACATACTGTAAAGCATAATAAAAGACACTGTCTTTAGAGTAACGAATTTAAATTAATTATGTAATTTTTTATTAGAAAAAGAATGTCTTTAAATCATCATATAAATAAAGTACAAAGTCAATGTTAAATGTTTTATGATGTTTATTATTATGAACCTCTCGTAAGCTCTCTTTGGAAAAGTATTTAAAATTCTAATATATTTACGCAAGCAATTTATAAAATATAGGTAACATGTCACATGAACAATCGTTTGTATACAATACACGCAGTAATGCACGGCACGTAAGTTGAACCAAAATGGCGACTATGCACATTTTCGGTTCCCAAACAAGGTGCGGGGGAGAGACGCAGTACGTAACCATAGCAATGCAGTATACTGGATACAGGAACCTGCGTCGCTATTTTGGTTCAACTTACATGTCATAATATAATGGTATGTATTTATATACCATTAAAAATTATTGTCTCGAAAGTTTTATTTGAAAAATTTATCCCTAAATTAGTGTCAAATAATTAATTTCATTTTAAATATAATGTACCGATCATGGTAATGTACCATTATAATCACACTGCCCGTATTAGTCGTAGAATGTCTTAAACAATTATTATAGTAATTAATAGAATAATATTGAATCATTTTATAATAATAACCAAATGTTATAACTGTATGCTGTAGGTCGATTATATGAAAAAACAATTTTAGATAATTAGGTTAATTTTTTTAGATATCACAATCAATCGATATAAATTATTGAAAGGAATATTTTTGTTTCTTTTTTTTTTGTTTATCATTCGTTTCCATAAACTTTAGATTCCACAAAATAATGTTTTCAAAATTGTATAGAGAATGTATGTTAAAGGTATTTATCTATGTGAAATCGAGATTATATTAGTGCATAGGAGATTTTATATTTATAAAAAATATTATACATGTAATTAGGTAAACCCTTGCAAAGTTGAGTGAATCTGTTAATTTATTTAAGTTGAATAAATTATAACGTTATAAGTAATAAGTTTGAAAAAACAAAATTGATTTAATTGGTGTGATATCGTAAGGCGATCGATGTGCATTTTGTTGTGATAACGAAACATGGAATAATTCCGTATTGCATTTTCGATGTGATGAGAAAGAGTAGGTAGAAAAAAAATTAAGTAGGTATATATCTCGGCCATTACTCGTTCCATACAACTTATCAGTAAAATATAATGATTTACAAGTCTTAAGTGAGTGTTTCTTTTAATTATAACTGATGTTGCTCAGTAACCAATATGAGACAATTTAGAAAAATTGAGGATATGATTTTGGGAAAGAGCACAATAAATAATATTGATCAGTAAAGGTATTTATTTAAATATTTGCAATACAATCCTATGGTAAACCTTTAGATTTTTCTATCACATTGAGTAATCTGTGCACGTCTTTATTAAATCAGTTATCTGTTTATTTTTCGTGTTATCAATAATGTCCTTTATTTATAATGTAACGGACGATGCGATTACCGATAACGTATCATTGCGAATAGAACTAACTAACTGTTATGAGAAAAGAAATTGGTTGCAAAATATCTTAATTCTTTAATTAGTTTTGATACCAGATCTAAATATTCCATATGCATTATAACCATTAATTACTGAGTCAATTAATCTCACTTTACTAATGAACAAAAAAATTCCGAATATTAAACTAATGATATTTTGTGAACATGTTGAGAAGATATAAATTTGCTTTTTTTTGTTTCATTAACTTGCTGTGACTATAGTTATTTGATATACGCATAATCATTTTAAGAAAGAAAATAAGGCGGTTCTAGAACTCCGTGTAATAAGTTAATATCAATGGAATTGATGTGATCTATATCTGTATGTGGATCAATGTAATTCTTTATATTGATGGTGCTGGAAATGGAAAAGCCTTAGGTAGAAAATGCATATTCTTTTTGTATAGAAAAGACAGCTATGTTTAATGCAAATAAATATTAGAAAATAATAAATTTAATCTTTTTTGTGCAATTGTTATGAATGTGGTGTATTCTGTATGCTATTGTTATGTCTAATAAATCATTAATCAACCATTGCTTACTTTCATTTTTACTTTTGCCAATAAATAGTACCTACTATAGAAATATTGTGAGTAAAACAATCACTCAACAAATTAAAGAATTTATTAACAAAAACAATGTTACTATTTGTTTCCTAAAATTATTAATCATATAAATGATTATAATAGATTTCTTTGAGTCATTACGTAATCAGAAGCTAATATTGTCTATTGTAAAATTATTTATTACACAAAATGACTACACACTCGCATTTCTAATCTCTGTTTCATAACATAAAAACCATGGTCATATCCAACCGAATAATATAAAAAATAATGTAAATTATTTCTCTTTGAGAAAAAGTAAATAAATCATAATTTTAAATGTTTTTGACTAATTGTTGAGCAAAAATGAAATACATAAATTTCGAAATAAGCTTGATAAGCAGTAGTTTCTGTTAAAATACATTTTCTTTACTACTGTGGTTAAAGTAAGATAATTTTACTATTTATTAACATACAGAGATCAGAGGAAATAAATACAATCACTGTGTCCTAAACAAAATATAAACAGACATGCTTATTTAAATATGGATACAGGCAATTTTTTACTGATTTGGAATGTATATTGTACATATATAAAAAATATAGATTGTACATTTCTTATTTTCAATTTTACAATAATAAGAAATTACTCCAGACTGAAACTAAAATAATAACTATTGCAAGTAAATATTTGTATGGAAGTATTATTTTGTAATATGAACCAGAATAAATAGCTAGCTCTGATCCATTCTTTTATCAAAATATTATTAGGTTATTGTAATATTACTTTAGATATATCTATTTTTTCTATAATATGACTTCTAGACTTCTATAAAATATTGTCTTTTCTTTACAAACAAATGCTTTTAGAAGTAATGTCATCATGGCGAAATGGTTTAGGGCTAGAATAAAGTAGTGATTTTAATGTTTTAATTGTAGAGAAATACTTTCAGTTTATTTTTATCTTAGACAACTATACTAATACATAAACATTTATTATATAGAGTTTTGGAGTTTTTATCAATTCAACATCTTATCCTAAAATGTTTGCCAAATATGTGGGATAAGATTGAGATTATCTTATCATACAATACCCTACAACAGTGATAAGTTGCTATCTGTCACTTAACAGAGACAAGATTTAGCACATCACATCAGCCTACTTTAATGACAAAGATCTGAAATATTCTTTGATTCATATAATTGCCAAAGCGACATAAAAAAAATATGATGAATCTAAGTGACAGCAGTTACTGCAGAACCTATTACATATAAAATGATTTCAATACAGTTTATTTCATATACTATAATTCACTCATTATTACAAATATTTACTTTCACAATAACATTTTCAGACTTAAAAAAATTGTTAAATGAAATTGAAATTAATATTCTTACATATAGAGTTGTGATTAACAATAATAATTTTGTATAAACCTAATTTAACAATAACATTACAGTACTGAATGCAGTCATGTATCTTTTTGTTTTGGAGACAAAGTAGAATCAAATCTACTTTTACTTTAATTATAACTAAGCATTCAGTACTTTGTCCTAGGATTATTAACTATCTGACATTGTCTTCTCATTAAAAATCTTGTAATATTGTGTCATAAAAAAACTATGGTAACTAAATAATGCATTATAAAACAGTATTTAATGTAAATAAAATTAAGTATGGCCACTTACATAAATTTTATATTACTATATTTTTTCATCTAATTACGAAGGCACAAAATTATTTGCACTATTAAGATAACATTGAATTTGACTTTGTGAAACCATTTAATTTAGTACATTCACATAATTTTGCATAGAAAGTCATGGCCAAGTAACTAGTGTAATCGAAAGAATTTAAAGAAAACTTTAAAAAGGGGTCAAGGGCAGAGTAAAGGAAAAAGACATAATACAAGTTAGATATGGTTGGCAATGTAATATGACTTTCAGAAATGTAATAATAGTCAGTTATATCATAGAGATAAGGAAAAATTTGTATAATGCACTAGCTTACTGCTACTGTAAGTAAAAAAAAAATCTACATAGAATATAAATTATAGACTTAAGTAGTTCTAACTTCTTAGGATTGTAACATATAAATTTACATCTAATAATACAGTAATATTTACCTATGTAAGAATTGGACCTAAATATGGTGCTTGATCACAATAAAAACATTTAGGTACATCTGTTTCTTGTAATTCAACAACATTTGTGCTTACTTCATTAGCTACATAATAATATCGGCATCTTCTTGGTCCTATACCTTCTATTAAAGTATCATAAGGAGGCGAAAGGATGTCGAAGAAAGCTGCAGGCACTTCCAAAGCTTCTATTTCATGATAGTTTGATATAGTCGGAGTTAAAGTGCAAGTCTGAGAGTTGGCTCTGCAGACACTGTCATTACTTATTTTGGCAAATAGCCTTCTACGTTTGTGGATACCTTGGGCTAGACGTGCTGCCTCATGCTTAGCTCGAGCAGCAAAGTCAATTTCACTGACGGCCTCTTTTAAAGGGTACTCCGAAAAACTTCTTATTTTGACGGCGCCAGCAATAACTTTTAACAGACCATGCATGTGAGGATGATCATGTAATGGCATTTTAAAACCAGGTTTCAATACAAAAATACTCATATTCATTTGATTGTTTTGGAACACCTCTATATATGTACAAGGGGCTTTGTTAGGTTTATTCCATGTCGATGTATCACTGAGGCTTTTGTCAAAGCCTAAATCTTCTGCTCTCAAAGAATCCATCATAGTTTTTAACTTGCTTAAGTTAGTTGTAAATTCAGATTTGAAGTTTCCGTCAAATGTTCGAAGCGCATGCCGGTATATTGATAAAATTGGTGGTACATTAACAATTTCCATAGATGATCTTGATTCATATTTATTATCCATATGAATTTTAACTGTACCGATACACAAGAATTTTCTTCTGGTAAAAAATGCGAAAAATAATCGTCGGCACGATAACAAAGCACCCTTGACAACAAACGTCATTTTTACTTTTTACCTTTTAAAAACTGTTCCATTTCATGATAATTTGGGTTACGTATTATATTGAAATAAGATAACATTATATTAAACAGAATTTGTAAGATTCTTATAAATTAAGATAATTTAAAACAAAAATTATTTTTCAGTATTAAAGATTTTAATATATTTACATTCATTCTAATTAGTTTTTTTTTTAGTATGACTCATTATTAAAATATTTTACGTGAAACGAAAACATAAGTGTTGGTAGCACCATCTAGTGCAATATAAGTACAAAAGTGACGTGTCTGTTTTGTTTAAATTGTCCGTAAGAGGGCGCTTTTCAGTTGTAATTGTAACCAATTAAAATATTATAGTTACCTCTAGCTCTTTTTATCTTAACTTTTATAAAACTTCAAAATTTTCAATTTTTATAACTGAATGAAGAAAACATAAAAATTCAGGTAATTGGTATTATTGGTAGCATTGGAATTATGATTAGGTCCTCTGTGTTATGATAATATATTTATGATCTTTTCGATTTGTTCCTTTTTATTTCAATTCATTATTTATTTATCGCACTGAAATTTTTAAATTTTGAAAATTAATTGACTTATATAATGAAATATATAAGTATATTATTATTATTTTGTTATTTGTTGTTGTTTTTTGATTGTGAATTCAAAACGAGAAAAGTCACAAAGAAATTTAGTGCAATTGGCCTTATACAATATAACACCCATCGTGTCACTGCTGCTTACAACTGGTATATGGTCGCATTAATGTGTAAGAGATGGTCTTTTACGGCGACGGCGACGATTGAAGACGTCAATGGATATGTAGTTTGTGTGTCAATGTATGATAGGGACTGACAAAAGAGTGAAGTATCAGCAAATTCGGATAAGCTTAGGCATGGTCTATCTATCATCTATATCTTCACGCCGCATCCTTTGCAGGGTAGGCAGAGAGAACTGAGTGTCACAATTTACGGTCCCTGCAACAGCTTTCGCGTCTTCCGTATTGAAAGTTACTCTTTTCATACATGGTCCATCATGAACGCTTAGCAGCCAGGAATCTTGGTACCCGGTGGATACCTCGTAATTATACCGAGGCTCTCATATGTCGTGTTGATTGGTACCGTGAAATAGTTCAAATATTAAACGGAGATGACTCAAATACTGACCTGCGTCGAAAGCTCTATATTAACGGTTATATTCGGAAACCAAAAGACAATCTGTTTAGTTAATGTTTCTTATCGAAGAGTTATCAACTAAAGCGAGGAGAGATTGAAGTATAAGAAAGATGATGGTGGCCTCGTTCTTCGGTAAGATAGGTAATTACGCCACGATCGTGTTAGAAGATCAAGAAACAGTTACTGCCTGCAGTGGTATACAAAAAGTTAGGGAGTTACAACCTTGCAGTAGGATCCATCTTCATCACAACAATGCCTTCTCGCACATTGCCAGGCAAACGATCCTCATGTAATAAAACCAAACTAAGTAAGCACACCCATAAAATAGGTTGTTTCATTTGTCTTGTCCTTTTGAATATCTAAAGTCTGATATTGATACTGGATGGTAGCCGTAAGAACTGTACAATTTAGAAACGCAACCCTTATGAGCAGGGGCGTAGAACCGCCGTATCTGCCGCATAAAATTAACCGGGGCCCCCAGCGTGCGTAAGCAAAAATTTATAAAAACATCGCATATTTATTTTTATTTCAGAAATAACAAACGTAAAAAAAAGCAATTTTTCTACTGCGTAAAGCGTGCGTTTCAAAGTTGGCAACACCCAGTATCGGTTTTCGCGGGTTGCGGGATTTCTCAGTCTTAAGTCATTTACTTCAAAGGGGAATCTCAGAATAACCGATGTATAAACGATTAAAATTCGCATAGTTTTTACAAACATTTTTTCTTTTGTGAGAAGTCTTTACCAGATTTACCTTTATAAGGGCCTTCAAACAAATTTTTATATATAGGGCACACTACGCCACTGCTTGTAAGCAAATATTATCGACAAGTATTGTCCATAAGATTTGTTTCGAAAAAGTTATTATCCTATAGATATTCTTCTAGATACATCTCAATCAGCCGTCACTTAACTTTCACCACTTTTTTAACCATATAATTTTTAAGGTAGTTTGAATATCAAAGAATTTAAGTATAGGTATTCCCACATTCTTAGATATTTCCTCATCCATATTTATGCTCACAACATTTTTAAAAGGGTGATTTCTGAAAAAAGGTTACTGGGGTAAAATTGGTGTGGTGGCACGTTTTAATCCACACTACAAGTAAAAACTACGAAGTAAACTGCGTACGCAATCAAGTACAAATAAATAATTTGATATGTAAATATTTTAGATTTTGTACCTGTAGTGAAAAAAAAATGCCCTGGGTTTGATCTAGAAAAACTTTTTCTCGAGTTTCCTTATATGCAAACCATCTTCTCATACCATCATATATCGCAAACTTTCTGTAACTGTCATTATTTTCAACTTTCAACCAATGAAGGTATCTGAGAATTCTGATATTAACAATAGCCAAGTATAAGCCACACAGTACATTAATACACCTACGTGTGGTCTCCACGAACCACCAGAGCCGTAATGTGTAACAACACTTAAACAAATAATGATAAATACCTCGGCCGCGCAACTATATAAACTTGGATTTTATTGAGTTTCCAACAGTCTTGTCTGTGTTTTATCGCGTTTTATTATAGCACCGATTAACGGTGAACCGAAACACAGATAAATTCATCAATAGATACGTACACCTTCATATAAATAGAAATGTTCACGGTACGACAACGTAATACGAGTAGATACACCCCGACATACCCGTTTATAAACTATTTAAATATCTATGGCCGGTAATATTGCTGCGTGGTAAGATGGAGACAATTATATGATGGAATATCTTAGAGAAATAAAATAATACAGAAACAACAGTGGCATAGTAGCGTTTAAGGTTTTAATAGGTAGGTAGGTACTTATTTAATAGGTAGGTTAGTAGATTTAGGTCGTCTTCATTGTCACGTCTTGGTCCTAGAGTTAAGCTGCGAAACAGAAAGCTCGTGTGATCAATTGTATCTCTTTACCTCAATAGAATAAAGATAGTACTTAAAATTCGAGTTATTTTTAAACTGATTTTCGAGATTTAGTGTGAAAAGAGGAATTGGTGATAGATTTAACAGCCTGTCGCTAACGAACCTATCACCAATCGTATAGCTCAATTTGACAGTCAATTTCTTTAATAAATAAAAATATGGATCACATTTATAGTTGTATTATAATCATAATATCATCGATTTTGTGTTAAAATAATGTGCATGAATTTAAATACAACGCAGAGCCGATTACATAAAAAATATTTTTCAGTTAAGTATTTTTAATTTATTTACATATCTACATAAATTATTGGCGTTATAAACAAAAATATCATGTAGTACTTAAAAATGTAATTCAAATTCCACGCAGAATTTGATAAATGATTAAATTGTTTCAATTTAGACAATATTACAACACAATTCTAAATCTGACTAATTCGTTGAATGGTTTGTGTATACACGTTGTTATACGTTCCCTTACGCAATGTAATTGATCCTATACAGTTTTCCGCGCAAGTGCGTACTTTTCTACGGTCATATAAAACGGCTACCAGATCTGGTGTGTGTCTGTATGTTTGTCAGGTGCGAGCGAGCTGGGTGGCCTTCCAGGAATTGTTCTTATATAGAAAAGTGGGATTTCGATAGCGGTGATGTTAATAAAAAAAAGTGTATCCGACTCTTTGGTCGGTTGAACCATAAGTTTTTTTAATAATTTTATTCTATCAGCTATTCTATTCTGTTTTAAACAGTGCTGTGACAGCATACAGCTTCAATGAAACGAGGGCTCGATTTACCTTTTGAAGGAGGTTTCGTTTGATTGAATTTCTATACTAAGACAGCGCTGCGGTGGACGTTAGGTTCGAAGCGTTTTAATTACAGAATAGCATTGCTGATTTTTACTAAGCAAAATACATATTTGACTCACAGTACAGTAAATTTAAATAATAAATTTAAGACCACATGCTGACATTTTTAATTATATTTTTGGCATTTTTATTCTTATTATAGTTAAATATTTTGACGCTATGTAATTGGACATGTTTTTGACGTTATGTATTAGTTATGTACACGTGGAAGAATACATATACCTAGGACAAATAATCTCACATGAAGACTAAACCACCAAAGAAATGGTTGGAAAAAATATTAGTCTTTAAAAGAGATTATGGAATCCAACGAACTCAGCATAGGAATTAAACAAAAAGTTTTCAACACATGCATACTCCCTTGTCTCACATATAGATTCGAAACCTGGTCACTCACAAAAAAATTCGCATTCAGATTCATTATCTCCATAAGTATAACATCGTGATTAAAGTACGTTTAATTTAGTTTAAAATCAAAATATGCCGAAAATATTGCTTTCGATTCTTCATTTCTGATAGATACTCTAACAAAAACAATTGCAAAGAACGAATCGAATATCTTTATCGTACAATCGTTAAGCAATAAGCTTTTTTGAACTTTGAAGGCTTCTTCTGAAAAATTATAGAATTTATTTGATATTATTCTGCAAAATATGTGATGTATTAACAAAAAAAAGGAATTTTGTTTGTTTTTAAATAATTTTATCTTTATAATTTTACGATAGTTATTATATTAAATACATATTTTAATGTAAAATGCTTAAAAATCCACCAGCTGCTGGTAGTGGGCTGGTGAATTAAAAAAAAAGAACATTAAGAATATCTTACGTTAGTTTTCGGAAATAAGTCATTATTACTTTGAAGGCTATTTTTTAAAGGAAAGTCATTGTTGAATTTTTTTTTTATATTTATAAAACAACTTTCAGAACAACCCAATAAAACACGATTTCCAAATGTCGTCATTCTCATAAACGCATTAGTTGTAAAAGCTATCATTACGCCAATATTCAGTTCCTATATTTATAATTGAAATAATTTATTTTAGTTCTATTCGACGTTAGATGCCACTCGGCTCGTATTACTGATGGAAGCGCGTAATGCAAATGAGAATTATTATTAGGACAGAATGGTGAACTGTTAGAAAACAATCTACTTACTAATTTATATGTTACAGGGTAAAGCTGAATAAGTTTCACTGTTTTTATTCTTGTAGAAACTTGGGAACAAACAATAACAGAATTCTTAGAATAGTAATTCATAAAAATATTTCTCTCTATTGTTTATTTTATGCCATAAAATCTATTATAGACACGATGAAAGTAATTAAATTTTTAATATTTCTGGAACGTCAATATTTATCTATAAAGGTTTTATTTTCAAAATATCTAATATTTCCGAAAAATCGGAAAATGCTTCTACCATATCTACAATTAAGATTGTTTTTTACTTTCACAAAAACATTGGACAATCATAACACATTCGAGAAACTTCATTGGAATTCGGGCGAGGTTTTGCTGGCCATCTCTTTAACTGCACGACTTCAAATGAAGTTTCGACTATTCATTGTATGTTGCCAACATATGCATGCAGTAACTCACAGAAATTATAGTTTCCAAAATCTTTGTGAAATACTGAACTTTTATTAGGAACTATATAACTAAAAATAAAAAACAAGAGATACCTTTTAAGTTTATTTTAATGAATAGTGTAAAACAAAGTTCCTATATATGCTCAGATTTTTAAAACTATGCACCAGATTATGATGCGTTTTTTTTAATAGATAGGCT